GATGCACTGCGAGGTACTTGCAGGCTCTCCTGGCATCCTCAGGCGCTGCAAAAGTCACGAAAGCGGTCGATACAGGATCATACCGATTCACCGGCTTTGCGCGGTTCTCCGTGATCAATGAAGTGAGTAGATTCAGCTTTGCCGTATAATAATCAATGGAAGGAACCGTCTTTCCGCGAAACAGATGGGATAAGCGGACGAGAGGCTGATACGCATCGAGAGCGTTCCGAGGAAGGCCAAGGAGGGCATCCCAGACGGTTTTCTGATGACGACGAGGGCGTTCAGTGATGGCAGATGGCGGGTACTTCGGAGAAGTGGGAGCTTCCGTTGATTCCGAATCCGAATCCACAGATCCTTCAGTACGTAACTTTTTGAATGAATATTTGCTGGGCTTTGATAGGGCTCTCCTAGCGAAATTTGAAGTCGACCTCAGTCCAAATTCGTCCACATAAGGCCCCAGTACCTTGATCAACCGTTCCACACGCTGTTCCTCTGTCATGGTCCCATCTTGCGATATATCTCCAACTTCTGGGTCGGCACCCTGTCTCTGCTTCGCAATAAGACCGGCACGAGAATTACTACGGGAAAAAGGCTTGTGAGCAGCCTGGCTATCCATGGCGGATTTCACTGCGTCCAACGTGCTTTGAGCTAGCTTGATATGCGCCGTTTCGAGCAGCCGAAGCATTTCTTCCCTTCGCTCCAATAAAGAAGCCAGTTCCGTCATTTTCCGTGCGATCACCACTCGTTCGATGACTGGTTTGTCGTCTGAGTTGACTGGTCCGTCTGAAGAAGGCCCTTTATCCTCCTGAGCGGGCAAATGGACTGGTATCTTCTTCACGCGATTGAAAAGGAAGGCAAACATTTTGTTGAACATCCCGGGCTGTGTGGTTGAATTCAAGCCAAGTGCAGGCCTTTCGAGTTTTCGGGACATATAATACTCAAAGTATTCCTTCAGCTCGTTTTCGTTTCTGAGCTGAGGGGGTACGTTCGAGACCATAACGGTCCGTAAGCGAAAACCTTCGACAGGTTCAGTAGTATCGAGAGATGGAACGTCTGTGAAATTATACGGAGGATGTGGATGTGGATGATTTTTGTGGCATTCACGGTCTTTGGATGATTTGCGTTTGAGTGCTGCCATAATATTGTTAGATCGCATTCGAAAGGCGCCATGCATGACCCAAAATAAAGTGGCTATCCAAGAGAGTGTAATCCAAAAAAGAAGGCAAATGTGTATCCAGAGTAGGGAAAGACCTTTGGCTGTTCCCACCAGAGAGGAAATGGAGGCTCGCGTCATGGACTTTGGAGAAATTGAGCCTTCGGAAAATTCAACGTGGATAGGAAAAAGGATGGGGAATGTCGTGCATGTATGAAGAAGGGTGAACCAGAAGCAGCCTCGCAGAAAACGGATGTACAGCGCGGCATCAACTCCTCGAAGCTGATTTAGCTGTTCTTCTGAGAACTTGAGAACTTGCGGTATCCATCCTAATGGCCACTTTAATGGTATAGGAGGAGATGCATACCTGTCAATTTGATGTCAACAATCATAGAAAAGACCATCGACCCCCACATACCTAGCCCAGGATCTGCCTTGATAGAGACTAGGGGAAGACAGGGGTTGGTAAAAGATTGAACAAAGAAACAAAAAAGAATGGAAGAAAAATAGTCAGCAAGGTTTTTAGGGCATGAAGAAGCTGACATACTAGCCAAACTCCCAAGACTCGCGGCTGCCTAGTACACCTTCACGATAGATCTTCCTGCCTCGTCTTGCTCTTTTCATCAATTCCTGACCACCCACGCATATTACGGTAATTGCTATGCCAATGACAGACTGATTTATAAGACCACTAGAAGGCGTAAAGTAGTACGGATGAGAACGAAGCCAATCTTGAAATCGTACGAGGCAAATTACCTGTAATTCTTTGAGAATGGCCTGGTCTGGATGTCACCCATGGTGAATGGTACAGCAAGTTAGCAGGTGGTGGACAGATTTGGGAAGCTGCTGGCTTTGAAATGCTAATTATAAACAGAGCATGGAAGATGAAAGCATATATAGAAGCAGCAGAAGATGGTGAGGAGAAGGCACGTGGACAATGATGTAGTGGATGATCGCCCCAGCGCTTATTGACGATTGACTTTTATCGTCAGTAGACGCCGGTGCAGTAGTCACAGCCTCCAATTAATCCCTTTAAGTTTGAGCTAGACTGCGGAATTGTCTACTGTAAAAGAATACCATACGCTTACCAGACGTTCAAGTCTTTTTGGCTGAGACGAGGAATCAAAATTTCCGCTCCGAACCGCGTTTTGGCGTACCCGCCCGCACGGTGGCAAAGTGTGGATCCACCTTGTGATTGCAGGAGGCTCTTTAATCTACTCTCTGATCGAATTTGTAGCTCGTGTTTGGATGCCGAGGATGTGAACAATTACCCAGCATCTCTCAGTGAGCATTGCTTCAATGACAATGCTTGAGTGTCCCCACTGACACTCCCAGCACCAAATTGAAATTTTCATATTGAACTCTGCAGAGGTAATCAACATCCAGCCAAACGCAGTAATAAACATGCCGTATCAAAGAGCGGTTTTCATTTCATTCATATCGAGTTAGTGAAAACCAAACTGCCGAGTCTACAGCCTTTGATTCAAACAAGTACAAACAAAGATATTCTGTAATTCATTTCAGCCTTTCCGTTCACCTCCATGTCGTTACTCCGTACTTCGCTGGCGCCATGTCGCCGAAATATCCTTCAAATTGCTGCTAGGACAGTCTCTACGGAATCCAGCTCAGTCCCTACCCCAGAAGCTAGTAGTAAAGACTCTTCCGAAATCGTAGCTCCTCCTCCAGCTCGCGATGTCATGACTGCAGATGTTGTTAGCGGTGCTCCTTGTACGTCTTTATGTGCTCTATCTACTTCCTCTCAATCTTAAGGTTTTGTCTTGCAACAGCGGAACTCCGACATCGCTCTGTACGCATCTATCAACCAACCCGAAACACCATGCAAAGCGGCCCAAATAAGGGCGATAGGTGGAGAATTGATTTCGACGTTCTTTTGGGTGGAGGTCGCTGGGAGAACCCTCTGATGGGCTGGGCAAGTTCGTGAGTAATATCGAGCCGGAGCTGGACGTGCTTCAATCTTACTTCAATACAGTGCCGACTACATGCAAGGAACTCGTGTCTCCTTCCGCTCAAAGGAGGACGCAATTCACTTTGCGGAAAAGCAAGGTATGAATGCATCACAATTTGTAACTGGCCAACTCACTAATCTGTCTATCATGCAGGATGGGATTACTATGTGTACGTCCTGGCAACCCTCTAGTCAGACTTGCAACACCACTGACCTGTTCACCGTTTCACAGACAACTTCCCGAAGTGAAAAGAATTCCACCAAAGAACTATGCCGAAAACTTTTTGTATCGCAAGGACAAACTCCGCATTATGCGAACCAAGTAGACGGAATCTCAATTTGTCGAATATCAACAATTCTTAGTGCATAGGCCATTCATACTTCATAGAGTGCATACCATACGAGTGTCCTCGAAATATGATTCGAACCAAACACGCTGTCCGATCCCTTTCGCATTTTCTTCACTGCTTGATCATCGTTCGTCCAAACTCAAATCCATACCTTCGTTTCACCATCTAGCCAGCTCTAGGCAAATTTTATCGCTCTACTAAACTGGGCCCTTCGGAACATGAACAGTCCTTTTATTTTGACCAGTCGAACCAAAGCTAGGAATGTGCAATCCTCGTTCAGCGTTGCAAACTGCAACGAGGGTGACAGCTCCGCGAATTCATGGCATCTGAAACAATCGTTCATGTGAATGCAGGCGATGATTTATTAGTACTAGATCTAACTTTGCTGAGTTCTTCGTCCAAAGCCAGCCGTGGTACGAAGAATGAAGCTCTACCGCATTGCAGCAACTCAAGCGCACCACCACCATCTGCCCATTGGCATCACCGAGTATGCAAAGCCCACGATACCCAACAAGTACGCGCCAATGACCGCACCTCTCCTCCCTTCGCTCGTACCCATTCGCACATCTCCCGAAAAGTCAGGAAAGCCCATGATATTGCAGAAAACGTGAGCTGTAATGGGTACGAAAATAGATCGCTGGGTCCGAAGGAACATAAAGGCACAGTATGCACCGAATAGTGTTGTGTACGCCATTTGGAATACTAAGCACCAAAATGAGATCAGGCTGTGAAAGAAAAACGCGTGAGATGGCTCACCAGATTCCAGGACAGCGCGTCTCAACGCCGCAGGAGTTCGGCCATACCTATTGTACGTGTCCCACGCGTGGTGAAGATGCGCGACCCCGAAATTGAGAGGCGTAGAAAAGATGAGTCCTGCCCGGGACTGGGCAAGTTTCGGGGAGAGAAGGTAAACCGAAAGCACGCATGCTCGAAAGACAATCTCCTCCGTTATCGGGGCCACAACATAATTCCTTAACCCAATCCAACTGCATAAAAGATTGTTGGCACGCGTAGTCAAATTCCCGCGCCAACGATTTCGGGGTGAAAATGAAAGATAAAGAGCGTAGAGGGGACCTAGAAAGAGTAAGGGCATGAGGAGATGGGGAGCGAATGTGGAACGCATGGAAGACAATGAAGTCGGAAAAGCTGGCCACAGTCCCAGGGCAGCGAGAGCAGTTGATGTTGAGCCAGTGATCCAGCATACGATAGCCACACACAACGCTGTCGCAATTGAAACAGCAGTGATTCTGGCCTTGATCACGTCGGGGTCATCTCGCCAACGTTCATTCTGTTGTCTTGGCCGTTCTTTCGATTTGTCTTCGGAATCGGAAGGTCGAGTTTGAGTAATGAAGACAAGCCGAGCCTCTTTTGAGACGTATATGGATCCAACATACACGCTAGCAAAAGCAAGTCCGAGCAAGTGAGCTATGTGTGGTGAGAGTGAGGTGTCTTGCATGAGAGATGGTGGTAACGAAGACAATGGCTTTTAAACAATCTCTTCTTGATTTCATTTGCTCATCAATAACATAATTCCGATATGGTGTAGTAACTAACATTATCGCCTCTCATTAGCTTGAGACACGCGATAGCCCGGGGTTCGATTCCCCGTGTCGGAATGCCTTAGGCTTCAGTTACTTTTTAATCTACGATGTGGGTAGAGCGCCAAACCAAGATCCTAAGCGCGACAATAAAACGTAGGAATGGTATAGCTTGAATTCTTCCTTCTACTATTCAGATTCCGCCTCCCTTTATTCTTGTCCTGCCTTTGTCCCGCCACAATAGAGGCTGAAAACTATGTCATCCAAATTCCCTCCGAGTCTAAAAGTTACCGAAAAAGAAAAATCTAAGCTACTGTGCTCTAGTTCCGTTCAAACTACTGCCCAGCCTTGAGGCTCTCCCAAAGAACGGCCACCACATCTGTTTCGCAAAATAGATCTTGAGTCCAAGCTCGTCTGCGAAATCCCAAACCAACGCCGGGTTTCTCAGAAATTGTCGGCCGACAAAGACAACATCAGCGACATTGTCTTGAAGGTATCCTTCGGCTTGAACACCAGATTTAATTCCACCGACTGTGCTTACGAGCATGGAATCGCCTGAATTATTGAGAGTCTGTTTGATTGCCTTGGAGAACTTCTGGTGAGCCGCAGTGTCCTGAGGACTTTGCTTCGGGGAATTCCCAGCAGAAGAGACATCTAACAAGTCTACACCGTGAGCAGATAAGATGGGAGCTAGCCTAATGGTGTCAGCTAGCGTCCAGCTAGGTTCGTCGAGCTCTTCCATACGGTCGGAAGCGGAAATTCTAGGGAATTGAGTAAAATTCTGTGAGTATTATTCAATCGATAGAGCTGAATAAAATAAGTAGCATACCTTACGAATAACGGCATCCCCTCAGGTATAACCGCACGTATCGCATCTACGACCTCGACTGAGATACGTATTCGATTTTCAAAGCTTCCTCCGTACTCATCTGTGCGTTTATTAGACACAGGACTGTTGAACGAGTGTAACAAAAATCCGTGGGCATTATGGATCTCAATAACATCGAATCCAGCACGGACAGCCCGCTTAGCTGCTGCTGCCCAAGCAACAACGTTATCCTTGATCTCCGAAAGAGAGAGCTCTTTCGGTACTTGGTTGATTTCAGCATAAGGGATCGCACTGGGCCCAACGGCATTGTTATGTCCACCTACAACATCAGTTGCAGGATAATTGGACGACAGCCAAGGAGCCACGATGGAGGCTTTACGTCCGCCATGATTGAGCTGCGAGACAGGTGAATTCAGGATCTCACATAATTTCAGAAGTAAGGAGAATGTATACTTGGATACCGATCTTCTGACCTTGCGAATGCGCAAAGTCAACGATTTGCTTCAGTCCCGCTATGTGTGAGTCGTCCCAGATGCCAACATCCTCTGGAGAGATACGACCATTCGGAGTAATAGCAGCAGCTTCAATGATGCTCAGACCTGGGCCACGGGAAATAATACCCCCGACTTGAATTCAACCCATCGGTCAGAGTCTGCTGTCATCGTGCATTGAAATAAACGAACTTACGATGGGCTAGATGCCAAGGGGATACATGGCCATCTTCAGCTGAATATTGGGTCATAGGCGGGAGCTGAGTCGCTTTGTTCAGAAAAAAAAAAAAAGAGCCCGTATAAAATGTCACCCACCCAGATGCGGTTCTGGAATGTAACCTCACGAATTTTGAGCGGGGTGAATATCTGTGGTATAATCTTTCCGTCGACTTGTGCATCGAAAGCAGTACCGGCAACGGGTGTTTGAATCGGAGTGAACTAGGGGACACCAACAGCACGCTGATTGAAGATATGCTGCGTCATGTTGTGAATGATGAGGAGTATTGGATGGAAGAGAGAAATTGGGTCTGGTGAGATTTGCCAGTTGGACTGGAGGGCCAGCTTTTATACTATGGCGAGTCCCACACTCTCGGAGTTAGGGTAAATTTTCATTGCCTTTTGGACCCAAGACAAATTCCTAGTATGGACATTGTAGCGTTTCACGACTCGGTAAACGATGAGTAATGAGTCCGGGATGTGAAGATTACTATAGCACTCTGGAATATGAACGCTATTTTATCTTCCTTACTTGCTGGACCTTGGCAAAGGCCCACCAATCGGGCAGCGGGCTGAACGTGCGTTCCTCGTCGATGAATAAGCAATGACTGAGAATGTTAATTCTATAGTTCTACGTTAGTACACGATAACCTCAGAACGTAGGAGAAGTCCTCTTTAATTACCTATAGTTCTACGTTAGTACACGATAACTATAGATACGTGAGTATATAGGAAAATATATGAATGAAGAAATACATACCCTCAGAACGTAGGAGAAGTCCTGAGGGCAGAAACAATAATCGTATGTTATATATATATTTGGATAGATAGGAAAAATAGATAGAAGGGAAAATAGAAACATGGAACCATACTTATGAAACGACTGTGCAAAGATATCCGACACGGAGGCTAATCCTGAATCCAAGGAT